TGCAGGGCGAGCTGGATGCCCTCCGAGCCCAGGTGCAGAGGGACTTAGATAGGCGTCTTGGGAAGATGGCACAAGCCTCTCAGGTAAGGGGACAAGCATGGCGGTGGTACCCGGGCAGGACATCCTCACCACTGGCATCACAGGTCTCACCCCTTCCCCTTCTCCTGACAGGAGATGGAGGCGCGCTTGCTGGAGCTGAACTCGGAGTGGCAGAGGTAACGCTGGCTGTCTGGGCAGAGCTGCTGCTCTGTTAGGGGCAGGCAGGTAGCAGGGTGAAATCCGCATAGCGGGGCTTAGGAAGGGGTTTCCAGGTCTCGTTTGCTCGGGGCAAAGGAGAGGTTGAGAGGTACGGTCTTGGGTGGGGAAAGGAGGGATGGGTATGTGGGTCTTTCGGCAAGAAAGTGCCCTGGCTGGCAGCAGGGCTCAAAGGGTAATGGCAGCAAATGGCCTTCACCACCATCATTTTGCATCACCATGGGGAACGTGGCCCTTCAGCTGAGGGGTGAGCTGGGGATGCTTTCCCACAGGATGCAATAGAAGAGGTCATTGCCACAGGAATTAAAACCATTTGGGGCTGGAGATGGGGTTGAGCGTAGGTGATGGGGGATGAACCTCCTCCCCCAGTTTGCAGAGGGGAGCTGGGACTGTCGGCACATGACTTTGTTGCCTTTCTCTTGGCACAGCTCAGCACAGGAGGGCCTGCGAGGGAGCTTCCAGCAGGAGGTGGGCAAGCTGGAGCAGGAGGTGGCAGCGCTGAGGAGGGAGCTGGCCAGCCTCAAGTTGGACCAGGAGGTGATGGGGAAGCACGTGGAGGGGATGCAGGAGCAGCTGAAGGCGGTGCGGGCTGACGTGAGTCCCCAGTCCCCACCCTGTTTGGCAGAGGGAGGCGTGAGGGACCCTGCCCTGGGGCTGAGCTCTGTCCCCACCGTTTCAGGTGGAAGGGCAGTTGCCAGCGCGGGTCAGCCGGTTCCTGCCGCAGCCCCAGCGGGACGGCGCCACCAGCCTTGTCCTCCAGCGGGAAGATTTGCAAGCGGAGCTCCAGGCCCTGGAGCGCAAGATCCTGGCCAAAGTTCTGGAGGACCGGAGGCTGTCGGCACGGGATGCTCAGGCCGGCATTGGAGTGGCCCTGCGGCAAGGGGGGACCGCAGGGGTGACAGAGGAGGTGAGATCTGGCCTGAGCCCCAGGGACATGGTGGTGGCCGCAGGCATGGGGTTGGCGGTGGTGAGGGGGAGCTGGCACAAGTGTCTGGCAGATAGCTGAGCCATAGGGACAGTCCTTACAGGTGGGACATTGATCCTGAGCTCACATCCCACCTGACAAGAGCATCCCTGAAACTCCTCCATCCCTTCTCTGCCACCAGCCTTTACTGGGTTGTGCCTGCGCCCTGCCCTGGAAGGGGTTGTGGGTGGCGATATCTGCACGCCTGTGAGGCTCTTGCTGTCTTAAAATCCAAGTTTCTGCTTATGCATCTTTCACCCAGAAGTGGGGCAGGTGCCAGCAAGGTGCCCACAGGTTGAGCATCTTGCTTACCTCCCTCCTTCAGCAGCACCGCAGTCATTTGCGGCGAACCATTTCAGCAGAATGACACCATGGGAAAAAATGAGCCTGCTTGCTTTGGAAAGAGTTGTTGGCAATTCCCTGTGGAGGGGAGGGATCAAGTGGGGATTAGCAGTCCCTGCAGCCTGCGCAGGCTTTGTGCACACTGAAGTTTAGACCTAGAGTGGTGCTGCAGGGTCCCAGCTCCTGGGGTCGGCCCCTGAGGGATGCTCTGGTTGGCTCCCACTGCGATGTCAGATTTTCCAGATGGGGATCCTGTGGGACCGGGTGGGGGGGACAAGGAGATGATGCTGGGGAGGACCAGCTGGGCTGTCGGGTTGTGTCTGGTACCCACCGGCAGATCTGGGGGCAGTCTGCCCTTTGGGATGGGGATGGGTGAGCCCAGCGTGCCTGGGTGCTGCCCCTTCATTGCACAGCGCTTCTTATCTGGGGTATTTTTAGCAACCTTGAACAAGGCTTCCCAGCCAAATGCATGTCCTCTCACTTCTGCCATGGTGATTCATCCCCTGGCTGTTCTGTGGAAAGGTCCGTGCGCCCTCTCCATCCCCATGGGGTGGAGGCGGGTGGTGGGGTAGGACACCTGCCCTGGCCCCTCAACCCTCTTTGTGCCCTCTGCTCCCGCTGCAGCAAGTGCATCTCATTGTGGGTCAAGCCCTGAAGCGCTACAGCGAGGACCGTGTGGGGATGGTTGACTACGCTCTGGAGTCGGCAGGTAGGTGGTGGGGGGGACTCGTGCCCTTCCTGGCAGCCATCCTGGGGAGGGGTGTCACAGAGCTTACCCTCTGCTGTCCCCTCTCCACCCCAGGGGCCAGCGTCATCAACACCCGCTGCTCGGAGACCTACGAGACACGGACGGCGCTGCTGAGCTTGTTTGGCATCCCCCTGTGGTACCACTCACAGTCCCCCCGTGTCATCCTGCAGGTGGGCACCCTTGGGGCAAGACCCCACCGAGGGGGAGGATGAGACGGGCCAGTTCTCGCGTGGGCTTGTTGGGTTCTCTTGGGCTCTCGCCGTTGCTCTAAGCAAGCAGCCCGGCTGCTGTCGGGGGGTGCGCGAGGCGGTGGTGGGGGGGGGGGGAAAGGGCACTGATGGTGATAACCTTGCTGGTGTCTCGCTCCTGTGCTCGTAGCCAGACGTCAACCCTGGGAACTGCTGGGCATTTTGCGGGTCCCAGGGCTTTGCTGTCATCCGCCTCTCTGGCACCATCCGCCCCACGGCTGTGACACTGGAGCACATCCCGAAAGCCCTCTCGCCCCAGGGGACCATCCCCAGTGCCCCCAAGGACTTCGCTGTCTATGTGAGTGCCCTTGGCCGGACCCAAGGGAGGGGCGGGGGGACATGGTGGGAGGATGCTGTGGTGGAGGGCACAGGAGAGGAGGGCTGGCGAGCCCCGTACCTGGCTGTGGGGTGCTCTGGGGAGTGGGTGTTATCCTGAAGAGGAGGAAGAAGCAGTACTGGGGGGAGCACCAGGCTTTGGGAAGGGTTTTGGGGGACACTAGGAGAGAGGGGATTGAGTAGGTGTAACTCTCGGTCTTCCTCCCCTCCCCCTCCCCATTCCTTCCCCACTGGCCCCCATCCCCACTTGTCTGTTTTGGCCTGGAAGAGCAGGAGTGGGGGCCAAGCATGCTTGTGTCTCCCTCTCCTCCCCTGGGTGTGCTCATTGCCTCTGGTTCTCCCTTTCTGTTTCCCTGCCCCCCCATAGGGCTTGAAGGAGGAGCGAGAGGAGGAGGGCCTTCTCCTAGGGCAGTTTACCTACAACCATGACGGTGACCCCATCCAAACGTTTTACTTGGAGGTAAGTGCTTTGCCCTCAGAGCACCCGACCCTGAGAAGAAAATGGGGTCCCTGGGGTCTCTGAGCCCTCAAGAGCTCTCAAGGGCTCACGTTTTTCCTTCCTCCTCTCCCCAAGGGTGATGCTGTGGGCATGTACCAGCTGGTGGAGCTCCGGGTGCTGAGCAATTGGGGCCACCCCGAATATACCTGCATCTACCGCTTCCGTGTGCACGGGGAGCCGGCACACTGATCCCTGGCTCCCATGCAGGACGAGGATGCTGCCGGGCCGACAGCAGGAGGGGATTCGTCCGGTTTGCTGCTTCGCACGTAGAAATCCTGGGATGCGCCAGCAGCCGCCCTGGGAAGCTTCTCCCCTCTGGGGAGAAGAGCTGGTGTTTAAGGGGCAAGGCTTTCACTCTTCCAAGGACTGGGGTGGTGAGGCAAGAGCATCCCATGTGGGTCCTAGCGCAGCCTGGCTTGTTTTCAGTGCGTATTGGACATTTTAACTTTTTAAGCTCATTTTTTATCAGGTCTGCGCAGCCCCTCGTCCCCGTTGCCCCGCTCCTCTCTGACAGCGTGCCTGGCGTTGCCGGGGCTTGGGAAAGGGGTACGTAGTTTTGCGATGTGCTTCACGCGGGCTTGGGTGCGATATGGCATATGGGACTGCGGTGACTGGCTTGGTGCCGCTGGAGTAGGTGGGAGCCACCAGTCCCAGCCACCGAGTCTCTCCCCTCCACGTGGGGTCACTTCTCCTGCCTTGGCGTTGGTTTAGGTAAAGATCTCCAGCCCTCTGATGCTGGGCCGGCAGAGGGGAAATAAGACAGTATTAATGAAGTATTAACATAAAACTAATGGTTTGGGGCAGCAGGGGGGGAGAAATTTGGCACGTGTTGGTGGCAGAGCCCGCCCCTGTGCTGCCATCCGTCCGCTCGAGCGAGCCCTCCTGCCACCGGTGGCTTTGCTGGGTCTTGGCAATGCTGTTGGCCCCCCTGGCTGGCCGGCTCCCCTGTGTTAAGCTTGACAATGCTATTGAAAACTCCTGTTGCCCGCTTCCCCTTTTGGGTTTGTTCTCTGTTGTTTTTTCTTTAGTTGTTTTGTTTTTAAGGGGGGCAGGGAGGGGGGGTATCTTCCAGTTGGGGTGTTGGCGATTTTTTTTTTTGTAGTAACAAAGGAAAAAAGACTTTTTCCATGCAATTTCTACTTAACCGGAGAACTCTATGTGGTGCCACTGGAGCGAGTGGCTTAGATGCGGAGAGGGCTAGAGCTTTGTTCAGTAGGAGAATAGCGCGTGCAGTAGGATAAGCTAGAATAAGATGAGCAGAGCTGTTTAAAATAAAGGTTGTCAGTGGCTTGGTAGCCGGACCTGGGAGACAAGGTCCTCTGTGGACTGCTGCTCCGTGGGGTGCTGGAGGCACTTCTGCCCTCCTTGCTCCGGAGGTGTCCTCCGAGACTGCAATGCGTGGCTGTAGCCTCTCGCCAGTGGCTGTATCTGTATATAGGTGACTGTTTGCAGCGAGCGGGAATTGCTGCCCCAGTTGCTCTGCACAACTCTCTGTGCCTCGGTGGTCTCTTGGGTGGGAGATGGGGCAATCCCCAGGGCTTGCAGGTGCCAGCATGCTTCTGCACCTTGGGGAGCAACAGGGCTTCCCCCCACCTGCAGTGCTCAGGGCTGCCGCTGTCACCTCCTGGTTCCTGATGGCAGATGGCTGGTGCAGGCTGACCTCCTTTCTCTTGGAAGGGCTGCCTTTCCCTCCTGCCTCTTTCTCACTGGCATTGCTCGGTTCCCTGAGCCCTGGCTGCAGAGGACTGTGCTGGAGCAGGATGGGGAGTTCTGCCTGCAGCGGGCACATAAATCCTGCCTGTACCCATGGTATGATGGGGGAGCTGTGGCAGGGGACTGCAGGAAGGGTGCACAGGGACGTTGCCCAGGCTGAGGAGTGCCAGGTCCGTCTGGCCACTCCACCTTCTGGCTGCCTGCATCACGCTTGGTTTGGCTTATGTTCTTGGATGGCACTTACAGCCTCCACGTTTGTCTTGTGTTTCGTTGAAAGAAAAGCTAAAGGGCTCATCTTCAGCCCTGTATGATGCTGGCATCATCCTTCCCCTGGCACCGCAAGCACTAGGGGAGCACTGTGTATTGATTCCCACTCTGGTCTTCTCTGCTTGAAGCACTGTAGGGTGAGGGGCATGGAGGAGGGGAAGGAACTGAAGAAGTGTCTCCCTTCAGCATCCCCTGATGTGCACTGGGCAGAGGCGCTTGAGCCCTGACCTGCTCCATGCCAGCCAGAAGGGATGAGGATGATGGCAGCATGTGCCTTCTGGAGGGGTCTCCTCACTCCAAGCAAGGGAAGTGAGCATGAAGGGCGCAGCCCCATCTCCAACAGGTTAAAAATTACCCTGTGGAGCCCTCCTGCAGAGCTGGGAGGCCCTGCTGCTGGGAGAAGGCAGACCTGCAGCCAGATCCAGTGACGATAAATTCTCTCCTATATTGAGCACAGTCTTAATTCTTGGCATCCACAGCCAAAGTTATTTTAAACTTGTCTACAGCTGCCCACTTGCCTTGGAGTACATGGAGTTGTGCTTTTATGAATGCCTAGACCTGTCCTGGGCTTGGCAGAGCAGCTCCTCTATTTAATTGAATGATAGAGAGCAGAGATGAAGCTCTCCCCCTTCCCCAGGGGTTCTCTGGCTGCTGGAGCAAATGCCATAACCATGAGGCTGGAAAACCCCTCTTCTTATGTCCCTTCTGGCTCCCTGGCCTCTGGGTTGGCTGTCATTTACCAAAAAATTATTTTGTGGCAAATCAGGCATGCTGGTGAGAGGTGGGAACAGGGGCCCTCTTTCCCCGAGGATGGAGTTGGAGTGGGGTCTCTGTTCCTTCCAAGGGGGTGTTAACTGCTGGCATTTGGCTTTACAGGGCAAGGTTGCCCTGTCTTTTGGAAGCGAGTCCCTGCTGTTCTGAGATAAAACCCCCCGGAGCCACCAGTGAGAGATCACCCTGGGGGTTTATGCTCTTCTCTAGGGGATAGTGCTGGTTTTAAAGGCCCAACTGTGTGAGGATCCCCAGGAAGGCATGCTGAGGCTATGTGTGCTTTTTCAGCCCCCAAATTCTGCATCAGTGCCAGGCTCCAGCCTGAGCACCTGAGCCCAGCCAGCTGCCTCTTGCCAGCAGCAGCTTGCAGGATTTCTGCAACACTTTCCAGAGCTGCAAAGGAAAAGAGGGCACATAAAACTGCTGCTTCAGTATGTGCATCTCTGCCCAGCGGTATTTAATCTTAGTGCTGATGCAGATGATGAACCTGATGAGGCAGGAGAAATGTGAAACAGCTGTTGGAGTGCATTTCCCTTATTTACTCCATTTCCCTCCTCTATTCTCCCTCCTTCTTGGTTTGCCCTACATGTGTTTATAAATTAGCCCTGCAGAAACAGATGGTTACAGGCAGGAGGCGAGTTTGTATTTGATGCTGTAGCCTGTTGCAAATGCTGCACTGTTTTGTTCATTTTATTTTTTAATCAACAGATTGTAATTTATGCCTATGCAAGAAAAAAAAGACCAAGACAAATAAATTATATCAAAACTTCTCCAAGTGTTTTGGGTGTCTTGCAGGTGAATTTGCTGGTGGGAATGATGCACAGCTAGTAAATAAAAGAGCTGCAAGAATAGCCTTGTCTATGTATGCTTGTGGCAAATCCTTGTTTTCCAGCCTGCCATATTAACTCTAGCGTCAGCAGTTTTTACCTTCTCACCGAGCAGCCTCTGGAATGCAAAAACTGCTTGGAGCAATAATGAAAACAAGACTTACTTTTAAAAACTCAAAATTCCTTGGGACTTTGATGACTACTAGAAGTCTCAGTCTGTGACAGACCATGGCTGTGTGCTCAGTCCATCCCACAGTGACCTCCAAGCCATCCCTGGGCATCAGCAGAGCCTGGCTTGGCCCTGAGGAGTGGCAGATGAGGCTGGGGCAGCATGGAGGGCAAGGACAAAGCCTGACACAAACCACAACTAAGGGTAGCTGCAGGTTGCTCTCTTTTCCTTAACATGGGCTGTAAATTACTCAGCAGGCAGCTAAGAGCAAGTAGAAAGGAAATACTTAGTTGTCCTCAGCATGAGGAAGTTAACCTAGAGCACAAAAAAAAAAGAGGCTGCAAAAAGGGAAATTGGACTGGCTGAACTTGAGGAGGGTCACACTGGTGTCTGCTTAACCAGGATGGGCTGGAGGCAGGCTTGTGTTGAGGAGTGCCCATGCAGCTCCTTGCAGAAGGCCACCACAGGGAAGGGTTGGCCCTGGATCTGCCCTCACTGGTTTTCCCTGGGTGGAGGGATGCTGGGCACATCGGTGTCCCAGCTGGGGGAGGGACACAGAAAAATGGGGAGGGGGACAGACAGAAAAAACTGCTATGGACAAAAAAAGGGAAGGGATGGGGTATTGGGTGCTCAGGACCAAGGACATTAGCAGAGGGGTGGGCATGCCTCCAGCAGCATCTCCACTCCCTGCAGGTGTCCATAGTGCCTGATACATCAGGAGTAAAGAGGCTGGGTGGGCCTTCACTCCAGCTACCACCAGCTCCCAGCCCAACACTTACCTATGTTAGGAAAGGGCCATGCAGAGCAGGAAAAGCCTTCATAAACCTCTGAGATCAACCGAGGAGGCATGAAAAGGCCCATTCCAAGCCCCGGAGAGTCCCACTGTATTTACAGAAACAGGTGAGGTACAAATCGCTGCGACAGCCTGGGGAAGCACAAGCTTATGCAGGCAGAGGAAAGGCTGTGCTAAAACTGCATCCTCTAGCAAAGTGTCTCCAACAGAGTTGGACCCAAATGATTTGCTATAGCAGCTCTTCAGACGCAGCATAGCTCACACCATGCAAGCATTCTCATTTCAACACTCTGCCACTGAGAAGCACTAAATCTTAGGCACAGTAAAAGCTGTCAGGGCTGTGCAGAGGCTCAGCAGCAGCTCTCCTGCAGCATGGCATGCTCTCCCCTGCTATCACTACGAACGCAGCCTCCTCTTGTAGCCAGCAAAGGAGCATGGTGCCAGGCAAACCCGCTTGGTCTGGCTTTCGGCATTAAAGCAGCAACTGCTGGTTTTCCAGAGGGACAAAAAGCAACAAGACATACTTTAACTTGGAACAAACTTTTTTAAAATTTATTTTATAGATCACACCAGCCTGAGTGATCTTTGAATGCTGGTCACAAAAGAGAGATCACACCAACTCCTTTGCACAAACTGAAGTAAACCCTCTTCCAGTCTCGGCAGGCTCCTTCATTTGGAGCACAAGGAATGGAGAAAGAGAAAACCGCCTGGAGCTCCCTGCTCCCCTCGGAAGCAGAGGGCAGTGAAATCAGATGCAGTTTGATGCTGCTACAGGGCCAGAAGATAAATGAACCAGGCCCTCATGCCCTGCTTAGCCACACTTCACACCCCCTCACAATGCGGGTGCTATTAGTGTTGTAGCCGCCTATAGTTCCTCCCTCGCCAGGAGAGTGCTGGTATTTAGGCACATAGCTTGGAAAGGACCGTCTGACCCCCCCTCCTTCCACCCACACTCAGGCCACTGCAGTCTCTAAGGCAAAGTACCCTCGTTTCCAAACCACGTTCCTCACTTCTCCCACGCCACTTAATCCTCTTGGAGTGCTGGTGCTGGCACCGGGAGAAGTGCTCTCTCCCCTCGCCCCCCGAGCCTGCTGTCCTCAGTCAGCTTGAAAGCCTACCTTGAATCACAAGGGGAACTGGAATAAACTCCACACAGGTGCCACAGAGTGAGAACCAGGAACAACCCGCTAAGGAGGGACAGAAACTTTTCAGTCTCCCTCTAATTAGAAGTCCTTCATTGGAGGAGGAAGCCCTCAAAGAAACAGAGGCTGACCGCACCTGCTGGGGAGAGCAACGATTTGATGAGGATGCCACCTCCTCCCTCAAAATGCTACCATGCTCCCACAGCTCACCAGAAGAAGTCGGCAGAGGATAACTCCTGTCCTCACGGGAGCCAAGAGGCGAGGCAGGGTTAGAAGAAGAGAGATCAGAATAAGCAGGGAATTGATCACTTGCACAACCCAGGGTTAAAAAACATGATAACAATAAAGTTAATTCATAGACCGTCCTTGCAGGGCCTTCCTGGAGAAGCCAGAATTTGTCATTAAAAAAAAATACAATCTTAAGAAAAAATAAATGAAAGTCAGAAAAATTACCACGTACTTCCAAACCTGAAAGCACTTCTATAAGTTTGGTACCAATTCATCATTGCCCTCTTCGGCCAAGAGGTGAGAAGACAAATCCTACCTCTGCCATGGCAAAGTTTGGCCAGCAAGCTCCAGAAAAGATTTGGGAAATCTTGGAGTAAACAAAATCAAGGGGAGGTCATGTTTGCCTAGTGTCTCTGTTCCAAAGGTGTATTACCACCTGTGATCTCTGTCCGTCGAGGTGAGAAGGCATTCTCTGGCTCAAGGACGGACTGAGTGTTCCTGCACTATATTCTTAATACTGTCAATTGAGCTGCCGCAGCCTTGAGAGGCAGGGTAGATTTGCTCCAATGTGCACTGAACAAACAATAGGAAAAGCAGCATGATGGGAAGGGGAACAGGATGGGCAAATGACTGCCCATTTAATTCTGTCTCTAATTAAAATCTTAAGTGCTATCAACATATTTGACAAGGATATTTAGTACAGGATTCCTCAATGTAACATCAGGAACTGCTTTCCAATTTGTTTCCCTCTTAGATCTCCAACTAATGAACTTCCTAACCATCTCCTTCAAACTTCAGTCACTACAACATTAAATTAAACCCACTTAGAAATAGTTTAAGATGGAGGGAATCCAGAAACATATTTGGCACGGGGCCACAGTGGTGAGGAAACAATGCCCTATGGAGCCATCCTAAGTAACGTGTTTTAACCTTTGCAAGTCTGAAATTTCAGGCATTTGATAACCCCTGGATCTGAGACAGCAAATAGGAGGAGAGCAGCAAGTCCTGTGGACAGAATTGGGTGAGGGAGGAGGGAGGCAGCTAACTGGCTCTTCGCAGTTCTATCCAGACTCTCCTCTCATCTTCATGCACACAAAATATAATAAAAACTAATAAGAATAAAAACTAAGCCCATGATGTACAAAAATGTGTCGATAAGGGGAGGAGGAAGGTGTCAGTTACTCAGTTCTGTGTGTCTTACCACCTTCATTAGCTTATAAATTATGCTCCTCTCCATCGCTTCCTTCAGGGAGGAGGGACGATTTTTCTGCAGCCAATCAGCTGGTATGGGTTTTGGTTTAAGCTGCTCTGGATCTTTTGGATAAGAAATGAAGGGAAGGGGAGGAATTCCTCAGAGGGAGGAGGAGTAAGAAATTCAGCAGCCACTGGCAGGAGTCACACAGGCTCCCTGAGACTTCACTTTATGGCGCTGACCTCCACGTCGCCGGCCTCCTCCTCCGACTTTTGACTGAAAAACAAGAAGATACACTTTAGTGCACAGCAACCTCTGAATCGGAGTATCAACACAGCAGGAGTTCAGATGGATTACACACACATTCAGGCAGCGGGAGGGCAGTTGTGACTGATCAGCTTCCTACCACTGCAGGAAGGAGATAAGGCAGACAGACACACCATGAAGGAAGGAGAAGAGACAGATAGATACACCATGAAGTTCAGCCCTTCAAGCTGGGGAGGACCTGATTTCCCCATTTTCTGAATGCTTCACTCCCTTGAGCGTCAGCAGATGCCATGGGGCTCAGCATCTGGGAAATCGAGGCCTCAGGCTCCCTTGGCTTTGTGCAGAATGGAAGGAGAGCTCCCCCACCCCCCTACCAGGGCTCTCTTGCTAACCTGACTCCGTTCCCAGCCTCAGGCCAGCAAGCCCACCGTTCTCTTTTAAAGCAGCCAAATACCTTATTGCCCTCACGGATGTGGGGCTCTTCATCCAGTGCAGGCTGAGGGGAAACAGCAAGGAGAGAGAGGCAGAGGTAAGCAAGAACAAAAGCAACACAAACTCTCAGGGGGAGGGACGAAACAAAGAGCAAGCTGGGAGCACTACTTACAACCACAGTGACACTACAAGACAAGGAGGAGATGGGTGATCAGTAAGAAGCCACAGGCATATGCAAGGGGAGAGAACCCCTGCCAGAGGGCCCTCTTTCAGCAGCCAGCCTGGCTCAAGAGGGCAAGATTTGACCAATGACAACTAAGACAGCTAAAATTAAGAGAGGGAACACTGACCAGGTCTCTTGACAGAGTCAGTTCCTGAACCTTTTACTTACTAGATAAGTACACTAAAAGGAGAAGTCCCATGTAATAAAGCTCATAAATAGCTCCCAAAGCCTGCAGTTAGAATTCAGTTTCCGTTCCTTTCAGCCCAGAAAGGCTAGGTAACCTTCTCGGACAAGCTGAGCTGAGAAGTCCTAACCAACAGAACAACCTGGATAAATTTCTCTCAAAAGAGATAAGCCTTTCCTCCTCCTTGGACGTCTCCATCCTCCCTCCTTGACAGGGCAGACAACCTGTGTCAGATACTACTACTGAGGTTGTAATTTCTCTAGCGTAGGGATGTTCCACCTCTCATTCAGACAGCAGAGACCCATTCTGTG